TCCCTGATGTCCTATTATGTGTATGAGTGCAAAAACTATCAAAAAATCAAGAGAAGACAATAAAAACAAGGTAGATCGAAAAAAGTTACTAGACAAAATATGTCAGACGTTATCTTCGAAATAATAACTTTTCTATTACAATGTAGATGGACTCAGAGAAATTCTATTCCCAAGATATAGTACCTGATATTTAAAATTGCATGTCTTAGTGGTTTTGGAATCAAAACCCAACCCGAGTAAAAGCTTAGAAAATTAATCTCAAGAAAGTAGCATAATAGAATTAAGAAAATAGAAAAATGTCCTGATTCTATGGCCAAGCATAGGAAACCTATATGTATAGTGTTTCATTTACCTTTTTAGAAGAATTGCAACTCTTCGTTTAAATGGTAATATATATTTTTATTTGGAAGCTTATATCTCTTCTTGAAGAATCACTTACCAATAAATAATTAGTTATATAATTTATCATTATTATTACTAAATATCTACATATATACAACACTTTAAACAGTAGAGGTGACAGGGCAAGGGTGGGTAAGCTCAAGCCCACTTATACAAGTAATTCATTTCATGAAATACTTCGTGGATGTTTTTATCAAAACATGGTCCCTGGGTACACACCATGTTGTTCAAACTACTCAACTTGATTTTGACATGGCAAACTCTATAGTCACGAGTTTATTTTCTATGAATTGACATATATAGGACTAGGAGAAAGATTTAGCCATTTAGGCAGCTAGATGTTTGAACAGAAATACCATGTTGATTCGAGACTATGTCATTGTTTGTTCCATGTTGTTCAAACATCTCAACTCAATTTTGACATGACAAAACTCTATAGTCACGAGTTCATTTTCTATGGATTGAGATATATAGTACTAGGAAAAAGATAAACCATTCAAGCCAAATTTTTGAATAGACAAGGGTGACTTCACGCTTATAAACTTTTAAGACAAAAAAGGTCATAGACATCGTATGTCCCATGCTTATATTCACTGCGTATTTCCTCTCTTTGGACCAGTTGAATGGGGTACATAGCAACCCTTCTACCAGTCAGGATTGATCAGTACCTTGATGTTTCAACTTGAAGTTTTTCTCTTTTTTTTTTCTGTGTATTTGTTCAAACATCTCAAAATGTATGATTAATCTTAAAATATTGTGGTCGAATATGAAAGTTATAATTTTTAAAGATAAAATTATAGATGAAATGACAACTGATTAGATATATTCATGATTGATCATAACTTTTCACTCAAACAGTCAATAATTTCGCTTTTAAAATATATTACTTAAAATTTAACTGTCAGTATAGTACGAAAATTTGATACCGTAGAATTATCTTAGAAGATGACTAGATTAGTAAGAAATGTAACAATCATCATTGTATTTTTTCCAGGTTAGGATCAAATAAGTTGCTGGTCCTGCCTATTGGCCCGTCTGGTCTAAGTTTTGAAAGAGAAAAGACGGTATAATATATAATAGTCTCAGTTGACTATATATCAGCATATTTTTCCATGGTGTTTGAAAATCAGAGCCGCTCATGCTGGACCCAAAAAAAAGCATGCTCCAATGGCCCTTGTAGCTAGTATGGTCTGAGTCTCATTTCCCCTGGACTTATATTTTATATCCTATTTTGTCACTAAACTCTGAAAATGAGTGCCATGCATGTTGCCCTCGTGAGAGAGAGAGAGAAAGAGAGCTAGCTAGTTCTAAAAAGTAATGGTACACATCTTAAATGGAACCCAAAATTGTAAGTATATCATCCTTTCTCTTGAATGGGTGTTAGATAAGTGAATTTCACTGAAAAAATTAAAAATTTATTCATTTAAAATATAATATGCATCTTTTTCAATTTAGCATTACTCTTTGAGTTATGTATTATTACTCAAAATATCGCATTCTAGAAGGAGGGATATCATTATTTCATCTTTGGGGAGGAGAAGCTATTAACCATGAACACTACAATTCTATGCTAAACTTGACTGGTTTCTAGCAACTAAAATAGTAATAATATGCTAAGTTCCTCTTTATTTGTAGACTTTATCCAAAATCACATACTTTTCTGGGAAAAAAATACTAAAAATACTATTTTTAAGGTCAATTGTATAAAGACAAGTTGCACTTACTCGTCATCGATCACAACATTTTATGATCGATTATGAATAATATCGACTATTCGCTACTTTATCTTTAAAATTTGTAATTTGACTTTTTAAAAGTTGTATTTTTCATTATCAATCATACAATTTTGTGACCGATCATAACTTTTAAATTGTAATTGAACCCTCAAAAAATTATAACTTATTATATATGTAGTCATGGTAAAGCACATTCTCTTTAGTTTTGTTTATGGTATGCATTTCTACTCTCTTTGAGCAAGTGATCATGAAGTTGTTCTCAACCCTCGTATAGAGAACGGCATCTACAATTTGCCATACAATTACGATGCTGAATGAATGAAAGCGATACCCTACTAATCAAACACACAACTGTGGAATTGGGGAGCCAATGTGTTCACTCTTCTTTTCAATGTTATTACGTACCAATTCACGGGAATGATAAAGAAACAAGAGAAAAAATACTACTTGAAGTGAATGACATTTTACAACACCATATGATATCTATATTTGGTTGGATTTATTACTATACTGAAGAGGAATAAGCCCCCTTCCCCTTCCTCCCCCGACCTATGAACCGCACCATCCACCCTCATATGGAGTGAGACCTAGGGGCGGAACTAGGAATTCAATTTAGGGTGAACCTTACCAACAGAGGTCAATCAAAAAAAGACCAATTATATGTGACACTAAAACACTAGACATGCAATTAGACAAATTACAATTTAAATTCTCACAAAAATTAACTTGCCTAGATAATGTGTCTGTTATATTTGTCATTGATTTAATTGGATCGTAGTACTTATTGAGACTCATTATATATCAATAATAATGATTCATCAAGTCAAATTTTAAGTCATTTTTTTAATTATATTTAACATTTTCCATCAATCAAAAGGACCCACTATTTATAATCGAATTCTTCACTCATATATAGTGGATGATCTGTTTGAATTTGAGCTAAGCTCTCTAATTGTCATGATGAGAATTTATTGGGTAATCAACGTGAGCATCTTAAATGGAATAAGAAACGTATTAGAAGAATCATAATAAATCATTGATATATTTATTGGAGACCTGATAGAAAACATAGAGATTTAGTAGTATCCAAATTATATTGAGTTTACGTATTTTGTCCTTATAAATAAAGTTGGATATTATGTAATTAGTTATCAAATAACCTGTTTTCTAGTAAATAATAGACCGACATAGATTTTTGATCCGTATATGTAGGTACAATGTATTAAGGTGGGGTGCGTTGTATCGAACCACCCTCGATGTTTTTTTTGTGTTTTATTATTTTTCTATTGTGAATTCCTATCTCTCAACTTATGATACTGTATTAGTGTTAATTATCCGTTGTGCAAAACTTACAAGATCTAATATTATATAAAATTAAGAGAATTGTATTGGAACCCACTCACTAATTTAGGAGAAAATTCTCAAATAATATTATTTAGATATACAATATGAACATCACAAATTAAAATCAATAAATTACTTGGGCACTTTGTTATATATTTGGGAAAAATAGGGTTTGGTAAACTATAAAAGGACTTCTATGTGACTATGTGGATGTTAGAACTCTCTTTTGATGACTACCCATATTAAACTTATTATAAACATCATGTAGACTAAGACCTATATTCATAAAAACTTAATACACAAAATTTTTTATAGTTTGAACACTTTTTTTTTTTTGGTCAAGCCCAATTACTGGTAGGGGAGTGACTTTAAGGTCTAATTGTGGGACGATAACCATTAAGCTAACCACTAAACCTATAATTTCTTAAAAGAAGCTACCTTGTGTATTTTGACAAATTTACTTTGAGAAGACAGTTAACAAAACTTTTTTTTTTTATATGCACTGCCAAAAATGTCGGGCTAATAAGTGTGAGATTATGGGCTTAAATTAAAAAACAATCACTTTATACAAATAATTCAAAATATTACTTGCGTTTATAGTTAATTCGCTTGCTTCTCTCAATAACCCGATTAAAAGGATTAAATTTGTAATGTACACATTAGGGCCCTAATAAAAATGTGAAAGTTGTGATTTGCATATTGGGAGGGAGATGGCAGAGAGATAATTCAAATATTTGGGCAAAAGATTGGAAGGATTTAATTTTTGATTTTATTTAATTAAAAAATAGAAGGATCAGTTCAGAATCAGATACACCACAGCGATGGAAAAAAAAAAGTCAGAATTAATGCCCGCATGATCTGAAACGTGGCGCCCTACATTGGACGGTCAAAGGTTCGGTGGGTCCCACATTAGTTCGCTCGCTAGCTATAGAGAGAGATAGCATGGCCGTCAATTTCGTTGACTCTTACCTCCTCTCTTCTAACGTGGAACACGCCGGGCCAATCGGGCGGTGTACTTGTAGAACGTGTCAACTCTCAACTCTCTTTTTCTCTCTCTCTCTTTCTCTTTATCTCCTCTCTCTCTCTCACCCATAATTTCTCTATAATTTTGGGCAAGGCAATGCCACGTGTAGAAACTTGACGCACAGCCTTACCTCAATAACGCTTTCCAAATTTATTTTTCTTCCATTTCTAAAGTATCAAACTTCTTTCCAATTTATTTTTCTTCCATTTCTAAAGTATCAAACTTATTTGGTCATTAGTCTTAGTCCTAACCCTTATTAATGCCGAGTCTACTGCATTTACAAAGAAGACTTTTAGGACTTCAAACACCAACCCTCCCTCTCTCCCTCTCTCTCTCTCTCTCTCTCTCTCGCCCCCCTTACATACACCTATTCTCTTCATTTCACTTATGTGGACAAAGAGGGAACAGGAGGACTCGCCATCGAAGCTGATCCTTTAAGGTTCTTTGCACCAAAGCCAACCTTGATCAATTCACTCGTAAACTCAAGTCATTCCATGGCTAAGTTTGACATCATGAACCACTCATTTGATCATCATGTTCTTAACTCTCTACATGATCAAGAGTTGCCCGTTGCAGTACCCGAAGAGCAACGTCGGCTGGTCAATGAAATGGATTTCTTTTCCGACAAGAATCCTTCCAGGGATTCAAGGAATGTTGAGATCAAGAAAGAGAGTGTACAACAATCTGAGCTCAACGTGAATGTATGCTAGATATCTAACAACTTAATTTCCTTGTTCGTTTTCTTCTTCTTTTCGAATTATTTAATCTGATGATTCCTTGGCACGTTTTTGTTTTTTTTTTCTCTCTCTTTCTGGGTGATCATAGACCGGTTTAAATCTTCTTACCACGAACACTACAGTCAGTGACAAGGCAACTGTGGATAAAGGTGGATCACCACCAGGAACAGACAAGAGAACTTCTAATGAGGTGAGAATTGAGGTTGCTATTATCTTATGAAGATGAAGGGTTGTGGATGATAATGATACGATATCATTATCATACATAACATACCTCAGTTGTGTTGTGTTTTTGAATCACCAAGTTAAAGATCTCTTTTTGTGTAGTTGGTTGTTCTACAGACCGAGCTGAACCGGATGAATTCAGAAAATCAACGGTTAAAGGCTATGCTTAATCAGGTTAACAACAAATTCTATACCTTACAAATGCATATAGTTACACTCATGCAACAACAGAAGAATCCAAAAGCTGAAAGTACAGAAGAGACCAAGGTAATTTTCCTCTAGTAACATTGTCAGTAATTCAACTGTGTTCATGGTTCTTAAGATTAATAATAGTATTGGAACAATTAACTATGTTCATTAGAAGTCTGACAAGTTTTATCATGTCTGTATGTTAGATATCTAACACAACACTCCTTTTAACCGGGCTTGGAACTGGCTGTGTAGAAAAGAAGTTAAATTAATATGTTTCTTTTGCGTGTTTAGATGATTGATGGGGACCTAGAAGAGAGAAGACGACGAAACGTCTTGGTTTCTAGACAATTCATGGATCTTGGCCAAGCTCTCATCTCTGATAAAGATGAACCTCCACAGTCTTCATCTGAAGGAAGAAACCGGGACTGTTATGAGTCACCACACTACAGAGAACATATACCAATGGCAGCCTTTGAGTCACAGAATTATGGTAATTGTGGTGATCATGAAAATCCTGCGTTTGATCGGAGGAAGACTGATTGTGAGGAGAGAGAAGATAGCCCTCGTGAACAAGATTTTCAAGAATGGACATCGAACAAAGTCCCTAAACTACAGTGCTCTAAGGATTTTGATCAAGCCACTACGAGAAAGGCCCGTGTCTCAGTTCGTGCACGATCTGAGGCAACCATGGTACGTACTAAGCATTAAAAAGTTCTATTAGATTCAATTTTTGGAATATATACTCGCTATAAACTCATAATGGATCATCACTTTGTATTATCGGATTTGGATCAGTCAATATTTGCTGCTTCTTTTTTTTTCATAGATAAATGGTAAATCTTATATATATAAAAAACTACATCTACAACAAAGCTCAAACATGTTTAAGTAGCACAAACTCAGTCAAAGGAAAAACCATAGCCTACACTACAAACAAGTCCTCCCACAACCTAAACGGATATGGACAAGACTAACCAACACCTTTCACATACTAAGAGGGGACTTTAATCTCTGCTAAAGGCCCTTGACACTTAAGGTATGGATAATTGATCTTTTAGCCTTCAGGATCTATTCCATCTCAACAATCTTCTCATTTTCCACCACATGGGAAGTGCCCTGTGTTTCTCAAGTTGGCAATTAATTAAACTCTCAAATTCTTGAGGACTGCTCGAGCAACGAACATTAAAAGGGTTTGAGGATGATTCTCTACCATTAATGGTTTTGGTTCCTTACACTGGAGCTACCTCTATCTTATCTTTTCTTTTGCTTTTAGGAGCATCAAGTCATTCATCGATGCAAGGCTCTCCAATCTTAAATTTCTTCTTCCTCCAAACTTAGGAGGATTTTGCGTAGGAGTTAATGGATAACATACATTAGAATGGCCAAATAATTTGCATGTTATATTTAGCTTGTTTCTAGAGAGGGTGGGGGAACCAAGGAAGAAATATTGTCTAATAATGCTACCTCACTAGCTAAAGTCTTCCTCAGTCTATAATGGGATACCTCCCGTTTTTCAGTCTTATGTTCTAGCTACACAAGCAACAACACTTCCACCTACTCAGTCAAGTCCATCTACTTCCGCATAGTTTGTCAAATACGTAAAATTGGATGAAAAAAAACTCAGTTTAATAAACCCAAAGTATGCAGCAGCAATCCAGCCTTATTGCAATCCATCTCTTTTATATCATTTCAAGGTTACTTATGCACGAGGGTACCAAATTCCACCATTTTCTATATTTGATGGGGGAGGTTGATCTAAAAGACACTTAAACCCATTATTCAAAGTTAAAACTTCATCAAAATCATATTTCCAAGTCTTTTCAGCCTAGGTTTTAACACAACAATAAGGTTGTTTCTTGTCTAAAAAGTAACCGGTTATAGCAGTTCCCCATAAAGAATATCCTTGCTTAGCAATTTCCAATGGGATTTCTTGAACCTCGCTCTTGACAAAAGAAACAAAAGAAAATTGATTATCACTCAGTAGCTTGGCACTTAACACTAGCTTTTGTTGTAGAACACAGTTAAAATTTTGATACTATATTAATGAAGCATGGCCAACGATCATATACTGGTTTAAGTTTTTCCCCTGTACCAAAAAACAAGTTTGGACACACTCTACCACCTATGAGGAAAGCTTCACTGGCCAATATGAGCCTTAGTTTTTTTTCTTTCTTTCTTATTAATTCCTAACTTATTAAATAATCCTTGACATGCTTAATCTCAATCCAATACAGATCTCTGATGGATGCCAGTGGAGAAAGTATGGACAAAAGAAGGCAAAAGGAAACCCATGCCCTCGAGCTTATTATCGTTGCACCATGGCTGTCGGGTGTCCAGTACGCAAACAAGTAACTTCCTTTGATTTCTTCTTCCTCGTCATAAAGACAATATCATTATTTCCTCCATCGATATCCAATTTTTCTCATCATTTGTTATTTTTATTTTTTTATTATTTATGAGAAAAAAGAAGAAGTTATGCTTAATTAGTCAAGCGCTATTTAATTCAAAGAAGTTCATTCAACAGGTACAAAGGTGTGCAACAGATCAAACGACCGTCATAACAACTTATGAAGGACAACACAACCACCCTCTCCCTCCTGCTGCCATGACAATGGCATCAACCACATCAGCAGCAGCGTCGATGTTACTCTCAGGGTCAATGTCAAGTGCAGATGGGCTAATGAACTCGAATGCCCTCGCAAGAACACTACTCCCTTGTTCCCCAAACATGGCAACAATCTCTGCTTCGGCACCATTCCCTACTATTACATTGGATCTCACCAACTCTCCAAACCCTTCACAGTTTCAACGACCACAAAGCCAATTCCATGTCCCCTTTCCCAACCCACCTCCTACATTTGCTTCTATGCCACAGATTTTTGGCCAGGCTTTGTACAACCAATCGGAAAGCTCAGGTCTTGAGAGCTCACAGGAAATGATGAGAGCAACGGCGGCCATTACTGCGGACCCGAACTTCACTGCAGCTCTAATTGCAGCCATTACCTCTATCATTGGCAATGTTCAACCAGAGAGGAATAGTAGCAATAACAATACTATCAGAAACCACAGTGAGAGCAAAATGGAAGACTCAATATATTAGGAAATTAAGATGTGCACGACAATGCTGTCAACTTTGATGAAATGAGATATTTATTGGAGTAATTCTATTAGATCCTAAAAAAATTGGCCTAATTTGACAGTTATGTGAACCATGACCATAGCTCTTGGATTACTTCATTATCAACAAATTAAGTTAATTTTTCAAGTCTTCATAGCATTACTCATATACTGATGGTTTTGCGGGTTTTTTTTTCCTCCCTCTCTTTTTCATTCTGTATTCCTGTGGATAGGGTACACAAGTAGCATGTTTTTGTTTTTTTCTGTGTTTTTTTATTTATGTTTGCTGTCAAGTGAATAATAAGATGCATATTATTCGTGTAAATACTAAAACAGCTTGCCACAATTTTGATTTCGGCCTTTTTTTTGTAGGTTAATTCATATGGTTACTTCAGTTTTGCCCCTTCTATCTTTGTATATAAATATCTCCATTGAGTAATGCTATTGAGATTTAAAAATTAATATAATTTATGTGATGTCAAGTGATGCAGTACTAACGAAGAAGTTTAAGAGTTACGATCACATCATTAAATCAATAAAATAAGGTCAATTTTAAAGTTCTAGTAACATTACTCCTCTTGAGAACTAACGATATAAAAATGCAAGGATATAGGTTTACAATTTAAGTGTGGAATCAGTATTCTGAGTTATTTAAAAAAAATGTCTAATTTGAATGTTCAATTTCTTTTGGGTAAAAATCCATGAATTTGAAAGTTGGTATCTCTGTAACATGAATAGAATGAAATAGAACAAAGAATTAGAGCGAAGCTGTATCTTTTTAAGGTTATCCTCGACTCTTATATGATTATCAAATTGTGTTCGATTCATGATAGTAACATGGTTTGTTGCTTGGTTTTGGTGGTACTATATTGACCGACTGACTTTCTGGACTAATAACTATGACTCAAATCAGATATTCTACAGTGGAGGACCCTCATGGTCACACCTAGAGGAAATTATTATCTACTAGTCACCCCTATCTTTTTTCTAGTTCAAAAAAAAAAAAGTAGTAAGTATGAATTGAGGATTGCCTTCCCATTTTCTTGATAGGCTCCAATGTGATACCTATCCATGCACATATTTGTTTTGATAGACAATAAATCTTAGTTTCGAAAATAAATATATTATAACGAAACTCAAAACACACTCCGTAAACACACTGAACAAATCATATGAGGATTGAGGACTGCTATCTATATCCATTTTGATGCTTTATAAAGATATGGAACTAGTTAACAACATGGGGATGGAAAAAAAAAACAAGTTTAAGCATGTTTTTACATCTTCCTGTACCATATTGAGTGTTTTTTGGGGTGTTGAACAAAATTAATTAACTTGTTACTAAATCGAAAAGAGGCAGTAAAGAAATGTAAGCAAGCACACACTATTCTAAAAAATATTTAATGAATCATACAATCATAATGAATTGGAGTAATTATTTGTTGAATCATTCTCAATTTAACTGAAGCCTAAACTCGAAATAATCCGCAAAAAAAATCTGAGTTGAACGTAATTTTTAAGCTAAAAATTGAACCCTGTGCTTGAACCTGCATTTTAAACCGGTTTGTACTCCAATTATGAAACCTAAATCCACAAACTTAAGCATAAACAAGAGTTAAAAGGGTTCGTTAGAATTTATACACGAAAATTTCTAAATCAGGTTAACCTTTCAACCCCTCTAACAAACTTTATTTGCACACTGAGGTTAATGAAAAAGCCAGGTTAATTAAAGAGAGAAAGCTAACAATTTCAAATTTAAAAGAAGAAAGTTCAGAATGTGGGTGTCCTTTTCCTCCGGATAACAACGGTCACATTTGGCCAACTGTTATGGCAGGAATAGATTGTAATTATAAGCTTAAAACCTCAACTGTGCCTCCTTTTCTCATGGGGCAAATGAGGCATAGGCAAAGAATAGGATTCTCAATGAATCCAGCCGTTTTGAAATTGAAAGTTTCGTTAAGTGGTTTCATGCTAACATTTATATAATCTAAATTCGTTTTATTTATTAGAGGTAATTTGTACTTGAAGGCACGGTATAACGTAAACCAACCGATTAATTTACAGAAGTGAGAAGTGAAGAGTAAGAAAAAGAAAATAAAATGTGAATGATTTTGAGATAGGTGTTGGTAGTTATTGGATGAGTCTCAAACTGCCAGATAGATTTATAGAAGTTTACCGTATTTTATATTATAGATATTAGATAGTATGGCTTGAGTTCATATCGAATTATTGATTAAACAAATATCACGAGCCACTTCGCTTATGAATAGAAGCTATTAGTAAGGCTGATAATCGAACATGTCTGAGCAAGTTTGAATTGAGTTTATCGAACTTGATTTTTAAACTATTTAAAAAAAAAAATTAAAACCAACCGAATTTGAAATGAGTTTAATTATTTACACATAAATGAGTCAAGTCTTTTGGATTCGAGTCGAATCTGTCAACCTCGTTTTCTAAACGAGCATGAACGAGCTTAAAATAAATGAATTTGAGTAGTTCGATTCAATTATTAGCTCTAAATATTAATATATAGTTTACCCTTAATTTTGTGATGATTTCATCGTATGCTATAAAAAGTTTATCACTCTTTAAACACGTTATGTGTGTGATAGGGATCATAGAGGGTGACACGAAAAATGCAACTTTAATCATTGGCTTTGCTTGGGGGTTACACATTCAAACTAAAAATCCTAATCATCGTCGTCGTCGCCACCACCACCACCACCACCGTCTATGCCAGCACTAGCTAACTTTTTCCATGGCTAGGGCGGTTGGCTTAACTGACCATCCCTGCTTTAGAACCATACTTTTGAGTGGTAGTTGCCACCCTCTGGCAGCCTTTGCTTTGATCCCTCCGTCGTTAAATTCTCCCACTTAAACTTTTGCTGGAAGGGTCAACTTTGCAGTTGGCTGAGAATCTCACATCGGACAGAAAATATAAAATAAAAATTATCCTAATATTTTTTGAATTAATTCACTACTTATAAACTTAAGTTTTTAGGTGATTGTTAGTTTCAACGTGCTTGGATCAATGCATTTCTCGGTCACCCAACAAATTGATAAGCAGTGCAGCGTACCAGTATTAATAATGACTCAAAAAAATGGTGAGGAGGTTGTCAAAAAATTATAAATTTTAGTACGATACAAACATCTCGTAATTTTCCTCGAAGTGACAGTGTGAATAACAACATAGTTGCTGATTTGGGGTGGTCTAATTCATTTTACTTGTAGGATGGCACCGAATAAAATTTTTTGACACCGTACTTCCGAATTTTACTATTTTAATGGGTGTTTTTATAATTTTTGTGAGTCATTTTACAACAAAAAATTATTATTTTTATGGGTGATTTATAACTTTTATAGGTATTTTTACAACTATTATTGTGATAACTGTTTTTTATTATTTTGGTTGTAAAATGTTAGAATCGATAACAAGTATTATAAAAGTGATAAAAAATAGTTATCACTCACTCACAGTGATAAAAATACTTACAAAAATTATAAATGTCATTATGATATCAATTTTTTTCTTTTTTCGATACCGTGGATAACTCTTTATTTGCATCAAGTGATGTAGAGTATCATTATTAATAATAAATTATAAGAACGATAAGGAGGTCATGAAAAAATTATAAACTTTAATACAATGACTTTTCGTAATCGTCTTCGACATATATGGTTTAAAATTAACGAAGTAGTTGGTGATTTGGACCGGACTAATTCATTTTACTTGCATTATGCAGACCGGCGCAGGTGTCAACTTAAATGCGTCCGCGGTTTTAGCTGTATTTCTTGTTTTTTTTTTTTTTTTTTAAAACCTTTTCAAGATAGGATTATTTTAGACTCATTCCTATGAGAGTAAATTCTTGACACTTGCAATTTCGGACACTTACAATTACTCGCAAACTACAACTATCAGTTAAATCCAAGAGACAACAACAAAAATCAAACTCCTGACATTTGAGTCTATGACCCGCGTAGTTTTTAGCTGTATTTGTTGTTGTTGCTGCTCCAGACTCGTTTTTTTTTTGGTCTATTACCTCATAAATTCAACATGGCAGCTAAGCCAAAGATCATTTTTTTTATTTATTTTTTCCATGTGAATTTTCAAACTTTTTTCTTTGTTCACATTGTGGGTATATGGAGACTTGATTGGTTCTGGTTTCCCTTATTCTTTGTTCACATTGTAAGCATCCGGAGACTTTGAATGCTTCTAATTTCCTCCACATGTGCATGGAGGTCAAACTCTCCAGGTCTAGAAGTCTCAACTTAATGTTTGCATAATCCCGTTGCTTCATCTACCGATTAAATTCGTATCGTGTGTGAATCAAAAAATTATTCATAGTCAAAATAGTATTTTTAATAATATAATTCTTCTCGATCAATTTACGAAATAAGTTTTACAAATCATGTTAGTTATAATTGGAACCATGTTTAAAGTCATAGTAATTCTGAGCAACTTCGTGTAATCATGATCTATTTAATTAATTTATTTGTAGTCATTAATCATAAAAATAACAAAATAAAATAAAATAAGGATTATTAATAGAGATTTCACCGTAGCATTAGGGATAAGGCAACAGTCCTGCAAAGGTATAATGGCGAAATTGATCCACTTTGGCCGATTTTAATTTTAGTTTCTAATTATTAATTAAGAAATAATAGTAAACAATATTATAAAATATTTTTTTACAAAACACATTTTACTATTAGACAAAAAAAATTAAAAAATATGTATATCAAAAAATTACTTGTGAATATCATTACTTGGACCTTATTCCTAATAGTTGACCTTGGAATGTGATGCCTATCCTTATGAGTGGGTATGTCAATGATTCAAAATCTCAATTCGAATTCGAATCCGAAACCGGTTAGTTGAATTTGAATGAATATTTTTATCGACAATCCAAATCTGAATTCGAATCCAAATTATCAGATCTAATTATGATCTAATTTAAATTATTTAAATATTTTTATATAAAT